GGGTCACTAGTCATTGTTTGTGTTGTTTTTAAGTCAAAACTGTAACGATGCTGCCTCTGGTGGGACACAACTCAGAGTACCAATTCAGAACAAATTGCTTAGAGCAGGGCAGTTACAGCCCAAGGTCTGGGGTTTCCACCTTTAAGGCACACCCAACCAGCCAGACAGAGAAGACTTTGGTTTTACCCCACTGGCTAACCATAAGTCATACAAGCAATTCCCTTAGATACTCCAGTTTCCCAGTATTACCACCAGTGCCACTCATTATGGGGACGAATGGTTATGAAAATTAATGCCCCAGTAAAAGAAAAAAGAGGTTCTCCTGATCCCAAAGGACCAAGCCCCAGGCCCAGGTCAATATACAAATCAGATCTTACCCTCAAATCATGTTGTTGCCAATCTTTTAGAATCTAAAATCTAAAGGTTTATTCATAAAAAGAAAGAAATATAGATGAGAGCTAAAATTGGTTAAATGGAATCAATTACATACAGGAATGGCAAAGTTCTTGGTTTATGGCTTGTAGCAGTGATGGAATAAACTGCAGGTTCAAATCAAGTCTCTGGAGTACATCCAAATGGGATGGGTCATTCAGTCTTTTGTTCGGAGCTTCAGTTTGTATCAAGGTTCCTCCAGAAGTAAGAAGCAGGAGTGAAGACAAAATGGAAATGAGGCAGCTGCCTTTTATAGTCTCTTCCAGGTGGAAGGACACCTTTTTGTTCTTACTGTGGAAAATTACATCAGTAAGATGGAGCTTGGAGTCACATGGGCAAGTCACATGTCCATGCATGACTCAGTTTGCAGGCCGATGCCATTGTTTACATGTTAGTTTGAATGTTCCCAGGAAAGCTCAGATGTGGATTGGCATCTCCCAAAGTCCATTGTCAGTTAAATGTTTCTTGATTGGGCACTTACTGAAAATAGCCCCTTCTCAAGAAGCTGCCCAGATGCTTCACTGAGGCTACTTAGAATCAAACCACATCGATATACAAGTACATAGCCAATATTCATAACTTCAACTGCAAAAATGATACACACATGCAGATAGCATAATCATAATCAGCAAATCACAACTTACACGACAACCTTTGCACAACATTTACTGCAAATATATAACAGCGTTTGCAACAATGATCTATACGGTTACACGTTATGTCAATAACATCACAAAAACACCCAAACATTTGTTTAAATAATCTGAAAGAACTATATGGACTTTGCAAGCAAATAAGAAAAAAAGGCAAGTCTAACTTTTGGCTTTGCATTACTGAGTCTCAACCTACAGCCTTTTCTAACATCAGTTCCTATTGGCTTCAATGGGAGACATGACTGAATAAAGATAGTTGTACAAAGGGAATGGAGAGCTGCTTTAGATGCCTGCTGGGGATTTCCCTGACACAGGGGGAATATCCAGCTGGAGTAAAACTAGTGTATGCTCCCTAGAGTAGGAGCAGGCTGGAGATGGGTAGAAGATGGAGTGGTCCCTAGCTGACTGCTGTAGCCCATGTAATTGAGAACAGCTGGCCCTTAGGCTCCCAGACAAGATCAAGGGAGCAGAAAAGTAGCTTAGATCTCCCCCATCCCATTGACTTCAGTGGAATTACTCCAGATTTATACAGCATTTGCAGAATTTGACCCCAAGGGACAGATTTTCAAAGATATTTAGGCACCTAACGATGCAGGTTGGCATCTAGTCAGAATTTCAAAAGCACCTAAATATATAAGGTGCCTAACTCCCATTGATTTCAATAACTTGCCAAGGAGCTTTTGAAAATCCCACTAGGTGCCTACTTGCATCCTTAAATATCTACATATCTTTTAAAATCTGACCCCAACTTTTTAACTCAAGCCAGCTCTTTGTCTAGCATAGTGACTGTTACATTTACACCACCTCTGATGGTCAAGAAAGAATTATACAATCAGTTTGGAAGAAAATGAGGAAACAAACAATTAAAAATGTGTTTCTGTTTCCAGAAGCAAAGGTTGTTCAAGCTAGATGGAAGAAATTGCTGCTGGTATTAGGGTTCAGTTTATTGCTTTAGGTGTTCCCAGGTGTTTCCTGTCACAAAATTGAGATTATACCCAAACCAAGAAATGAATGTATTTTATCATGCTAACTTACTATATGTCTGTGATGAGGGCGGACAGTGAGAAAGAATTTTTGGCATCCCAAATTAAAAATAGAAAAGGTCATTCTGAAAATGGGGGAACTGGCTCTGATGCCAAAGTATCCCATTCTTTATTACCAACATTTGTAAAGAATTTGCCCACAGCAAGTGATTCTTTAATACGGCTCCTTATGCCATTACAAACAACAGCCAAGATCTTCAAAACAGTGACTGGTGTTTTTGCATGCCTCCGTTTTTACTGATTAATCGGAGACACTTTAAAGGGGCCTGATTCTAATGAACATCCGCCCTCTGCAAATTAAGCCCCTTTAAGGTGCATCATTAAGACACCCAAGAATTGTGGTACCCAAAATCACTAGTCACTTTTTGAAAATGTTGGCCACTGTCTATTATTGATTTCCATGAGATAAGAAGTCAGTAGTGTTATTATGTATTTACATTGGTGTAATTTTGGGCTTCTTCATGGCACATTACTGTGAGAATCTACAGAACACTGGAAGTCGTTGAATGTGGCTTAGTGTACTATGCTTTCAAGTAGTAATAATCAGTCACACTCGGGACTTTCACTACAGTGCAGCCATGTCCACACAAGGATGTTGATGTACAGCAAGCTGGTGCACTGCCAATTCACACCCTGGCTTGCCCAAGAGCACTAATTGGCCCATAGAATTTAGCTTTTGCTAGATATATTAATATTCTTCAGTATATGAACAGAAGACCCAAACCCATTCATGGTTTAACACTATAGAGTATTAGGTGCTTTAATGAAATTTTCCAGAATTTCCATCTGTCTGTACAAAAGGGAGTCAGTTATCTTTAATTAAAATGTCCATACGCTCCTGATGTCTTCCACACACAAAAAATACAACTATATTAAGGAAAAGAAATAATGTAAAAATACATGGTGTGAAACTACAAGATAGAATTAATATTAAGCAGGGTTTGATCTCTGAACTAAAGGTGCTATTTAATCTACCAGAGAGAGCTGAAATGAATTTTAAATAAAGTCAGACAGTTTTCTGATTCAAACAATTATGAGTGGCTTTGAAATAAAGCTGCTCACTCATCTTTTTGTATTAGTACAGCTACTTAGATATGGATCATTGGAATGATTTTCAAAATATGAGAAACACAATAAAAATAAAAAACATAACACTTCTATGGATTTATTCTGAAATGAAATGAGGTCCCCTACCTACCTCAGCTAGAGAGCCATTTGTCAGCTGTGTGCATTGCTAAATGCATCCATGGAAATTCACTGGGTTCTGTCAAACCTGTATCTTAATTTTACATGATGTAATCCAGTGCCATATGGACTCAGTCCTGCAAGATGCTGAGAGAATTCCCACTGACTTGCTGAGGGCTTTCAGCATCTCATGATCCAGCTATATAAAGGGCACTGTGCATCTCCCCCTTAAATTGAGTGGGTACCAGGCACCAGCCACCCACAAGAGGCCTGAGCTATCAATGGGTGAGCTATTAAAGTTTTCTCCTTCTTTTCATTCACCAGAATTAATCATGGATTGTTTGATTTGGCACATCTGCTAGAACAGCACATCAGGGTCCTTCTGCCAAATGCACACAGCTAATACATTACTAAATAAATTTCCAACATGTTTTTCAAACATGCTCTCCTGAGATATGGGAACGTATTTTTTTTTCTTCATTCAGGTGACAGAGGAATCAAAGGTTTATCTGGGGTGTCTGGAGGGAAGGGAAAAGCAGGTACAGTATGTTAGTTACCACTACATTTCCTGAGCTGTGTCTTTCTACTAAGGATGGTTGAACCTGCTGGGTGCCGGGGTTTCCTGACATTTTGTAAGTTTGGGGTTTCACAGAATAATTGAGATCCATGAAATGGTTTCCACCCTTAATTTAAACCCTGTTTCTTTATCAAAACTTTTTTTTAAAACAAAATATACATTTTTAACTAAATGGCAGCTTAGGCTGTGCAAACCATAAAGATTCTTGTGAGAAATTAACTGCATCCCTCCCCTTCCTGGGAGTAGCAGAAGAATGAAATAAAATATATAGAACCCCAGAGGTCATATTTTATCAGGCCCAAACACAACCCAAACTTCAATGGTTTCAAGTTGTCATGGTTGTTAATTATTTACTGCACCATAAGTGCACAAGAGAGTGTATTGACATAGTCCCCCTTCCAAAAAGTTTCCAGTTTAAGGGCTCAATGCTCTTTTCCATGTCCCTGGTAGAGAAGAGTCTATGCCGGAAAAGGGGGCGTGTTCTATGTCTGTAGCATGTTCATCCCTTTCTCTGACCTAATAGAAGTTCCTCAGCCCAACTCTCTGGAGCAAGAGTAGGGTGGGCTGGGAAGCCAGCTGGTCTCCTCTGGATATCCCCAACCCACAAGGGACGCCAGTGGCATTAATAGATCCCAAGGCTGTATTAACTTACCCTGCTTTTACTTCTCTGCCAAAGGGAGATAAAATGATAGCGACAGCTGTGATAGGTGAAGTCCCGGCTGGTGGATCAGAGGAGCAGAGGATATGGCGATTAAGGGGGTGAAACCTCCTACATCTAGGATGGGCCTCCCCTACCCCAGGAAATAATTGTTCTTTTTCAAGATCAGAGATATCTAAGTGGGTGAGAAAAATCTAAACCGAAACATCAATGAAAAGTTACAGTCACATGTTAAGGAGGCACAGTCCAGCTCCCAGTTAGGTCAATCAGAATGTTATCATCAGTGGGTGCAGCACTGGGGATAAAGAGATGCTAGCTTGCCACAAGTCAGCAGTAAGTCTTCTAGAAGGTCTGAGAGCAGATTGGCAGGTCAGGCAGTACCATGCACTCACCCTTCATTCCCAGCTGGTGAATCAGGTGTTTTCTGTGTTGTATCAGGCACGGTCTGTGACTGTGGGAGATACCGCAAAGTTGTTGGACAACTGGATATTAATGTTGCTCGACTCAAGACATCCATGAAATTTGTCAAAAATGGTAAGCTTCATCATCATTTATTTTACCGTCCCCACCTTTTTATTAATGCTTATTATTGTTATATTAAGGTAGTGCCTAGAGAGTGTGGAAATATATATAAAGAGACATCCCAGCCTCACAGAGCTTCCTATCTAAGTGTAAGATTATAGACAACAGGGAGATACAAACAAAGAGGTAAAGGATGCACCAGGGACCAAGGAGATGATAGGTACTAGCACAATTGGCACTGGGCACAGCACACCAACTGCCCAATCATTGTTGAGTTTGTAGCAGGCATCGCAGCAGAGAAGAGCTAAGGAGGGATTTGAAGGAGGACAGTGAGATGACTGTAGATATTTACTAGGAGCTGCGCCCAAGCTTGCGGGGTGGCCAGGGAGAAAGCACAAAGTTGCTTGTTGGAAAATGTTAAAAAATATAATTAAAGGCCGTCAGCTCTGATTCTCCACTGCCTGCCACCTGGGCTAGTCACTTCCACATGGGCAGCAATCAGAATGGTAGCACTTTATAGCCACTTTGACTACCCTGACTATACAAGGAACAAGTGTGTGCCAGTCTGCTCCATGGTGTGCAAGGGAAAAGGAGGACACAAGAAACCGCCTGCCCCTTGCAGCCCTGCACAGTAGCTGGGTGTAATTGGAGTCCCAGTGTTCACTCTTTCCTCGTGCCCCTGAGGAGTCAGACACCCAAAAGGGGATAAGCATGGATAACGAGGAAATACCCTTGTGGTCAGAGTTGCCCAAGCATGCAGTTGGGGAATGTGCTGTGCACCCTGAAGAGACAGAAGAATGGCTACTTGGCCCCAGCACACCTGGGAGCTCTGGGTAGGACTCCACACTATGCACAGTGCAGGCTAGTGTTTGTCTGGCATGACTGAACCCTCAGAGGCCCGGTTATCAGAGATAACATATCAGATGATGCTGAGCACCCACAGCACCCTTTGTAGTCAATGGATATTGTAGAGACTCAGCAGTTATGAAAATCAGTCCAAATTCAAAGGCCTAGCTTGAGCCACCCAAGAACACTGGCCTCCACTTACACTGAGAGGGCCCTAAGGCTGTTCGCGTTCTCGCTTTTGCTTTCTGGAGCGCTATGCTGGCATCTGTATTAAGTCACAAGTGAAGTGAATGTGGTGATCTCATCTAGTTGCCCCAGACTCGTTTGTCCATCTGGCAGGACATGATCTGAGAACCACGGCTGCAGAGAGGCCCAGAACTGAAATGCCAAGGGAGATGCTGAGCAGTCAGGACTGAGAAGCACTATGCCTTGCCCTCACTTGTATAAGAAGCATACCACCTGCATTAATATCATTCCCTGTTCACGCCTTCATCATTATAATCAGAAACTCAGTTGTGGGAAACCCATTTCCCAGCTTTATGGGCTATTTCGACTGTTGTTCTGTTTAAGGAGAGACTTGTGTACGTTTTGAGAGACCGCTAATAGGATGTTTTTCTTTCTACAGTAATAGCAGGAATCAGGGAAACAGATGAGAAATTCTATTACATTGTCCAAGAAGAAAAGAGCTACAAGGAGGCAGTGACCCACTGCAGGATCAGAGGGGGGATGCTGGCAATGCCGAAGGATGAGGCAGCCAATGCACTGATTGCTGACTACGTCTCCAAGAACGGCCTCTTCCGTGTGTTCATTGGGGTGAACGATATGGAAAAGGAAGGGCAGTTCATGTATGCAGACAACACCCCATTGCAAAATTACAGCAACTGGAAGGCAGGGGAGCCGAAGAACACGTCTGTGCATGAGGACTGTGTGGAAATGCTCAGCACGGGAGAGTGGAATGATTCAGAGTGCCATCTGGCTATCTACTTTGTCTGTGAATTCAAGAAGAGAAAATAAAATGCCAGAGTGCTTGCCAGGCAGCTTCTGGACCTGCAATAATTCCCCCTGATTTATCCATTAGAGGTGATGCGCTGGGCAGGGCTAGGAGGGATAGGGCCTGATGCTGCACTCACATACACTGGTGTAAAGCAGGAGTAACTATGTTTAAGCCAGTGGAGTTACACTGGTGCTCGTGGAGTCAGAATCAGGCCTGCAGACAGCTCCTAGCTTCCCAACTCATGGGGAAAATCAGTGATTTTTATTTGGGGTTTAAAGTTCTTGGGCTAAATTTAGAACCAGCATGAATGAGTCTGCCTCCATTGATGGAGTGACAGTATGTGAATAATGAGGAAAGTAACTGGTGGAACAGCTTATTGAAATGTTGCACAAACTCCACTGAGGGAGAGTATGGCTTTTAGCCACACCAGCACTGCACTGGGGGTGGCGCACAACCACACTGCTCCACAGGCAGCACTAGATGGTAGACTGCACCAGGGAGGCACAAAATTTTCTGCAGCTCCCTGGTTGTGTTAAGGAGTGGAGGAGTAGTGTGCAATGTCCCTTTAAGAGCTGCGAAAAACCTCCTCTACTGCCCCCATGGTAGCTGGATGGATATGCTGGCTGGTATGGAGCATCGTTCCACCTCTCCCCAGCCTCCCCACTGCTCCCCACCTCTCCCTGGCCAGTTGCTCTGAGGTAGGGGTTACTGGGTCTGAGGCTCCAGGGGGTTCTGGACCACTGCACTGTTCAGCCTTTTTCTTTCTCCAGTGATTGGCTGGCTGTGGGTTTTGTTGGTTTGATTTTTGGATTGGGTTTTTTTTCCTCAGCCACTTGGGGGATGAGAGGTGAGCACCAAAAACGTTTTCTGCCCTGGTCAGCTTACTGGCTAGGGCTGCTCCTGCTTGCAAGTGGTCAGCAATGAAAGCAAAGATCCCAGTTATTTATTATTCTACTTTGGCATTTACCTAAGAGGCCAGATTTTGATACCCTTGCTGGTGCTTCCTCCCTGAGTACTCCTGGTGAAATCATTGGGGCTACTCCAAGACCCTCCGTAGGAAATACTCCAAGATCATTTGGATATCAGGCTTGATTTTAACCCCGATTTTAAAGGTGTGTAGGACATAACATTTTAAAAAGTGATTTAGGTGCTTAGGAGTCTAAGGCTATGTCTACACTACCACGGTAAGTCGACCTACGCTACGCAATGTACCTTAGGTCGAGTTACTGCAGGGTCTACACCACGGGGGGTCAACGGGAGAAACTCTCCCGTCAACTTACCTTACTCTTCTCATGGGGGGTAGAGTACAGGGATCGACTGGAGAGTGATCTGCTGTCGATTTGGTGGGTCTTCACTAGACCTGTTAAATCAACTGCCAGTGGATCGATCTCAGAGCGTCGATCCTGGCTATAGTGTAGACTTGCCCTTAGGACATGTCTACACATAAACCACTACAGTGGCACCACTGCACTGCTGTAACACTTCAATGAAGACAGTACCTACGCTGCTGAGAAGGCTTCTCCCACTGGCATAGGCAATCCACCTCTCCAAGAGACGGTAGCTAGGTCAACGGGAGAATTCTCCTGTCGACCTAGTGCTGGTCTACCCTGGGGATTAGGTCAATTTAACTGCGTCTCTCAGGAGTGTGGATTTTTCACACCCTGAGAGACATAGCTATACCCAAGTAAATTCCTAGTGTAGACCAGGCCTCAGTGTCATTGAAAGTCAATGGGACTTAGGAGCCTAGGTCACTTTAGAAAATGGGACTTAGCCATCTAAGTCATTTAGGCCTTTCAACACGGAGCAGAGCAACATCTAAATAGCTTTAGAAATCTGGGCCTTTGACTTAAGGCCAAACCCTGAGTATGGGTGGGGCATATGAAGTGGAGTAAAGAGAGAGAAAAAGAAATGGTTTCTTGCAGGGTCAAAGCATGATGCATGGGAGGCCTGACTTGGTTTACACCAATTCCATGTGAGTTCCTCATTCAAATACATGGTCAAATCAAAACAATGGTAAGAAATCTGAACAACTGCTCTTTGACTAGTGATGAGTTAAAGTAAACCAGGAGCATGCTCAGAGCTGGGGGAGAAAAGCATTACGACAGCCTTCAGTTGCATGGCCAAGGACACAAAAAAGAGAAGTGAGCCAAGAACTAATTTGTGGGTATCTTCTATCCTCCAAGAGTGGAATGTCATTTGCCAGTATTGGCTGATTACACTGAAATCATTGTCAAATACACCTCTTTCCTCCTGTTCCAAGGCAGTAGCATTTGTGTAATCTTTTCCTTTATAGAAAAAAAAAGAGTTAAATGTAAAAATAGCCTACCTGTGCATTCGTACAACATTATGGTTAAGATTTGGTTACTAACTTTTATTAAAGATAACAAAAATTTAGGGCAATACAATTATTTATTAATGTATTAAAAGAAAGGTTGACAAGACAAAAAGTAGGTGAAAACAATGGAGTTGAGACTCTGAGTAGTTTAGTTACAGTACAGTGGGAACACCTAAAATGTTCATTCTGGTCCTAGAGATATTCACAATTTCACACATATTCCCTAATTTTGGGAAATAGATATTTAGGACAACCACTAGAACTGGAAATGTCTCTAGAACCAGAGTGAACTGTAAGTGCACCTACCGTAGATTTTTACATACACTGTCTATAATGTATATATAGTAAAACTTATACCCATGATCTTTTTATTAAAATCATTTTAGCCTGTTTGGCCCATCTTTCCTCAAACAGTTCAGCCATTAATCTCATACAGGCAATAAATTGTTCCATTTCCTTTAATTCTTTTATTCTGTTCAGCCATATGTTGACAGTTGGTATTTGATTTTGCAGCCATAGTGATGAAATACATTTCTTGGCTACAGTCAAAAGACTTCTAAACAGGTACCCGTATTTGTTTAATTTCAAATAAGATCTTAAAGGTACACAAGTCAGAAAACAGCCTTTATAACAACCACATGACATGTACTAAGACAACTAACAACACTATATTCAGTAATAAAAATAGCACCTATGCACTGAGGGAAGTGGACAAGTTACATTTGCTTTGGAAAGCACTGGTCTGGATTTTCTGGCTTTAATGTGCTTACATTTTGCATTTAATTCATATTTAGTGTGATCAAGAAAGTTGTGAAAGAAGGAATGAGCAGGTTCAAATGAGAGGCATAATATTTGTTGCTTTCTGTTTGCATAGGAAGTGAGAACAACATCTTGTAAAGGTATTTTTGAACTCTTCCTGTTTAATCACTACGTACTGTGTGCCTGACTCTGCAGTCATCCCACCTCACCCTCTGAGTTTCTCCGTGCTGATATTTCAACATACTGAGACAACATTTCACTCTAAGTTTTATTAGAAGGGTGGGGCTGATAACGTGTATGGTCCTGTCTTACAGACAACAGTGGCAAGGCAGGAGAATAGTAAAGCAAACTGAAGAGAAACCACAAGGAGGATTTGGTGGGGTGAGGGGAGCATGCATTTTCTTAGGTTCTGATTCAGCAGAGCGCTTGTACAGTGCCCAACTATAAGTGTGTGTTAAAGTCCCATTGAAGTCATGTGTGTAAGTGTTTTGCTGACCAGATGGATTTAAGCATGTGCTTAAAACAGTTTAGTGCTATTTATTCTTTTGGTCTTATTATTTAAAGTGTAGAATGATCAAATACTATTTAAAGTAGACAACAATTAAACAAATGTATCCTTTAAGGTTTCAGAAGTCATGAATCCTGTTGCGACTATTTCCTTTCACCACACAATTGAAACCTATTTTATCTTATCTACAATTCACCTCGCCTATTTCCCAGCTTCCTGAAAGCTTTAGAGCAGTGTTATTAATTTTAGTTACTTACAAAGCACCAGGGGACTGCACACTAGAGCTTTACAACACATGCAAATGGTATCGGGGCACTGCACTTCACCAAGCTGCTTACCATCCAGATTGGATAAATATAAACCAAACAACTAAAAGGATAAAGCATGAGGTGGAAATCAAACTGAGTCATGGTTGATCAACAATGGAGGATTACGCAAAAAGCTGTGAGTCTTAAGGAAGAATTTGACTGTGGAGTTGAAGGAAGCTCAGCACATAGTTATACATGGAACAACTTCCCTCTTCTACCGAGTCAACTTCAAGGTCTCGCTCCTTATCCTGAAATCACTCAATAACCTTGACCCGGCATAGAAAGGATATGACCAAAAGCTCTGTGCTTAAGACCATGGTTGACAACTCAGCTCCTCTGGTACAATGGAACTTTCTATACTAAGGGTAAAGCTCATCTGTGCAGGAGACCGCTGTCCTAGGGACCAGTCCAAGACTGTGAAATTAGCTCCCACAGAAATGAAAGACCATCACAGACTTCACCATCTTTTACTACAAGTGCAAAGTGCAGTTTTTTGACTTGCCTTCTTCAATATCAACAGAGCAATATGAACATTTAATAAACATGAAATAAAAACAATAGTCCACCTAAATGAAACACTTCACTGAACACAATTATCCTCCTGGGATAGAGAGAGAGAGAGAGAGAGAGAGAGAGAATGAAACACACGTGACTGCTGTTAGTCATATCACTTAATGCATCACTCAAAGGCAATCAAATATTAGGAACTGTGGGTGTTATAAGAATCTATGTAGAATAGAATATGGAAATGTGAAAAAAGCCTGGAGTTAAGAGTGGAGGAAAAGGGAATTAAGGAAGGGAAACTAAGCAGAGCCCAATAATTTGTTTCATTTTTGCATAATTTGTATTTGGCTAAAGCATATCTTCCAGAAAGGCATCCAGTTTTGATCTGAAGACATCAAAAGATGGAGAATCCTCTACTTTCATTGGTAGTTTGGTCCAGTGGCTAAGCCCCTTCACTGTTACAAAACTTGTGCCTGATTTAAGTTTGTCTGGCTTCAGATTTCAGCCATTCCTACTTGTTCTGCTTTTCTCCACTAAATTAAAAGAGATCTCTAGTACCTAGTATTTCTCCCATTGAAGGTACTTGTACACTTTAATCAAGTTACCTTTCAATCTTCTTTTTGATAAGCTAAATAGATTGAGCTCCTTAGTGAGACAAGGTTGGTGAGGTAATCTCTTTTATTGTGCCAACTTCTGTTGGTGGAAGAGACAAGCTTTCAGATTTAAAATTTTTATTAAAGCTAATGTTAAAAAAATTATATATTACATAGGTTGGGGAAAGAGTGTCTGTACATCTGGGTATAGTGCTTAGATTATCCACAAATACAAAGTTTGTTTTTAAAAGTCATATGATACACAGCGTACATAATCAGCGATAACCCAAATTTAGGTTAATAGATTTAACAATATAGTTTAGATATTAGAATCTGAATACTCGGGTACATGACTCATGAAAAGTTGTTCAGAGATTTGGTCGTAGAAAGCAAAATATATCAGTGAATGGAGATTCTCAATTACTGAAGGACAATTAGGTTGGTTGTCCATTTATAAAATACAATCCATGAGGAAAGTATGTGTTACTGTGTAGCTGCAAGCCCATTTGAGAGTTTGGCAGCTGCGACACAATGCCATCCAAGATCGCCTGACCAGAGCCATCTCGCCACCCTTGGGGAAGGTTGCCATAAACTCCGCCATCCCCGGAACTGACAGCCAACTGTGACCGGACATCGTCATCACCAACGAGGACCGGAAGAAGATCATCATGGTGGACATAACAGTGCCATTCGAGAACAGGACCCTGGCCTTTCACGATGCCCAAGCTCGAAAAGGTAGAGAAATATGCCCCTCTTGAGAGCTAAGGGTTACCAAGTCCAGACACATGCGCTGATCATCAGAGCCTTAGGTGCATGGGACCCCAGGAACGAGCTAGTGCTGAGAACATGCGGAATCGGTCAATGCTACCCTCGGCTGATATGGCAACTCATGGTGTCAGATGCCATCAGGTGGTCAAGGGACATCTAAATAGAACACATCACTGGACATCGGCAATACCAGGTGAGATGAGCTGGAGTGCTGATGAGGAGTGCAGTCAGGAAAGTAACAAATACACAGAGCTCTACTTCAGGTCTGCAAAAAGGTATTCAGAGCATTAAAGCAACATACAAGGTAGAACAAATTGTTTAGGAGAAGTAGTTAACACATATTCTTAGGGACTATTCAAGGTGAAGTGGCCCTTTAACATCCCTGCAGTCTTAGGACAAAAAGAGAGTTAGTGGATTACAAATTGTAATAAGCCATAAATCCCGTGCCTTTATTAAGACCATGATTTTTAG